AACTTCACGCGTGAAACGAAGCTTGACCTCGAATTAAAAACGATTATTGGAATTCTCGACATAGATGCTTGTTAATTGCGTGGAATATGTCTTAAGAAATGGTAATCTATAGTCACACACACAACCTTGTCACCAAACATCGCTGATAACGCCGTAATAATAGAAAATTGGCAGAAAATGTAACTGCATATTTCCCGATCCTTGAGTCTATATATCCTTTGCGCGGTCGACGTTCTATTTGATTCATCGCAAACATTTTTTATGGATAATGAAGGATAAGTGGCGTGCGATTATTATTTTTTATTCAGAAAACGAACAGTTGGAGGACATACCGATAATATTATATCGAATGTTTTTAACGCAAATAGCTTTTCAAAATTGTTAATAAGTTGCATTAGCAAATATATAAAGCTTGCTTTGGGAAATTCTTGAAGTAAATGCTCAAAATTACAAACTTATATGGTGCGCATTCAAACAGAAGTAAAAGCTAATCGAGACACAACCTGTTACGAGACACACCGTGACGAAGGAAATAGTAATATCTCAGTCTGCGGGCGATGATGCGGTACAGTGAACCTGAGCTGTTATGATAGCATGCGTACGGACTAAGTGCAACCTTGCCGTGGAAAGTAGCAAGGTCGTTTCTTCTCCCGCCAATTCCACTTTTGCCCTCTCTACCGATATGTATACTGGTGTACAGTGGCGTCGGAATGATGAGAAGTCATACAGAATCCGTAATAAATTGTAACAACTACTGAAAGAACATTCACTAAATATTATAAGAAACATATCTACTATATATATATATTCAGAAAAATGTGCTTTTAAAATACTTAAATATTTATACAAAATAATAATAATAGGATTTATATATTCCCGTTTACATCAGTTATTTATATTAAATACGTATTATTATAAAAAAAGAGGTAAATTTTTTTCAAATCAGGACATTTTGTTATTTAGTAATATTTGTTATTCACAATATAATACAATCTTGCATTGTTCAATGAAATGAAGAAATAAGATGAATTCCTCTCAAAATAGCTAGCGATAACTACATTGATGTGCCATGCTTATTATTACTTTGAAATTTCGCGTACTTGTAAATATGTACAATTCAACATAAGTATATCCTCAGTAGAAAGATTTCACTCTTAAATGACTTTTTATTCAAGAAAATCTTTAGACTCTATTCTTTAAAATTTGGAATAAAATTATCGTTAAAATAGATAAAATTTATAATTAATTATTTCTCCAAATTTAATTATATATTTGTTTAAAGGATAAATATATAGTATAATCTTTATAATAATGTAAAATATTTTTAATTTGCATTATACATTTTAGGGAAATTATTGTAAATCTTTAGATGTATAACTAACTCGTGTAATATATTATATATATATGTATATATATATATACCATATATGCATATGTGTAATATATATTACATGAGTTATAGTTGGCTATTATATATGCAATTAGAATTTTTTTTATAAAGTGAAAAATTTGCATTTGCAAGTGTAATATAAATAAGGCGCTGAATTAATAGCGCATAGCATAACGTTATAAAAATTTACATGACGTTCGTCAACTGTACATTGTGGATTTCTTCGTGGCTGGCAACATCATCCAAACTCCCCTTGCAGTGACACGTCGCAATTAAAGGGATCCTTGTAAATTGTATACGTCTTTTCCTGACTCCTCAGCTTCTACCATCCTCTTTACAAGTCTCTACACTTCTTTTTTCAATGTCCCTTTCATTTGCTACTACAATCATCCCGTAGGTATCCCGAAGATCTATCATGCGTCGTGCGTAAATCCGTCATTGACACTAGCTCCGCGTGTAAGGTTCAAGGCTGTTTGGTATAAAAGCTACATATCTTTAAGAAAATGAGAAAGCTACAGGTGTAAATTACGATGTAATTTGGTGCAATTAATGATCACATTGAGCTGTGTATAATATAACGTAGCTGGAAATATATGTGTATATGTATATATATCTACATAGTGTAAACTTTATATTTCTTTAAACAATAATTTATAATCACTTGTGTACGTAGATAAATCATATTAAGTATTTAAATGTGTGTGTGTGTGTTTATAGAATTTTATAGATAAATATCATCAATATTGAATATATCATTATGATCAATATTGAATATAAAAATAATTTTAAGCCGTATGGATGATAATCGGTAAGATTTTATTGATTCTTTTTTCTATATATAAAGTATGATTAAACAAATTGCCGTGAGTCAATTTCGAATTTTTCCTTCCGCTAACTTTTATCTTCCATTTTGGAATAATTGCGCAAGGTTGAACTCTCTGGAAACGTTGTGCACATTAAAATATTGTTAATAATGGAATATTCCTAGTATCACGTAACGAAAAAAAATTTTTATAATTACACGTTTCTTTTGTAAAGATTGTTCTTTGTAATAAGAGGCTTACACAGGATCCTTTTATGTTAATTTCTTATTTATAAATAATGTAACAACTATTTTTATATTATATTAGTATTAAAAATAAAGAATTAATTATTTATTTTTAGAATTCTTCTATTTAATTGTGAAAACTATATAATAAAGGATATAGAGTGTTGAGTGAATCACGCGACTTTTTCTGTTTCTTTAATAATTAAAAAAAAGTGGTCTTATTCCCAAAATATTATCGATACAATGTTTTGCGAGTAAGACTACTTTTATCATTAAAAGAGATAGAAAAAGATGCGTGATTCGCTCGATACTTACACAGTGCACGTGCGATGTTTCTTTATGGTGCATCAGACCGAAAATTAATTTTAAGACCGGTATCACTTAAGGCTGTTGCCGTCTACAGATTACGAAATGCTATACAAGCGTACATAATGCATTATGCTCCCGCGAGCAAGCCTGTTTATTTCTTGGCCGATCAGTTATTTCAATGCCAAGATCGAACGACGGATTGATCGGCCATGCTTGAGCCGAGCATACGAAGCGCGGAATGTCCAGCCAAATACAGCAGCCGTTCAGGTTCGTGACGCGAATTCGCGATCGAGCGGGGGAATATTTCGGCAACGGTCATTTACATTGTGGGCATGTTACGAGTATTGTAAGACCCGCTTGTGACCGGGTGAAACAGTTACGTGACCATTGTCATGACCATAACGATTATACGCTCGACATTGATCTTCGGCCAGCTCCGAAGACTTTTTATTACGCTAAATACCAATAGTATTTTCTTGATATCAATTTTAGGACATTAAAAATGACTATAAAAGTATAAGGTATGAAAGCTATTGCATGAAGTGTTTACGTTTTAAGTTTTTACGTATATTATTAGATGATATCAAATAATTGTGGAAATTATTAAAAGGAAGGTTTCATTTAAATTACTGTTTCACGGAAAAAAAAGATTAGCTCCGCCATAGCTAAAAATTAGGTATGGCAGCTAAATTCAATAGCATTACATGGACACCTAACGTCGTATCTGCGAGGTCTAATTTCCATTAGCTGTCAGATTCGTTATCATTGTAACAGACAAGCATTTTGCTATTATGTCGATGTATTGATCATTGCAGCAAACGTTTTCTGTGTAACAGACAATTTGGTAGCAAGTACAGTTTCAGCAAACCATATTTAACTATGAGGTAATTTTTTTTTTACACGGACATATTCGATAACTGTGACTAATCAGTAACAGAACTAACTTCATATTGTTAAATAAATCGATCTGTAACAGACATGCATATTTTGCTATTACGTCCTTATATATTAGCTACAGCAGCAAATCCTTTGTATGTATTAGTAAATTCATAGCTACAGTAGCTAATGTAATTTCAGCTAATCAGAATTAGCTGTAAACCAGAAACATTTTTTTTCCGTGTTTCATATTTTATTACCGCAATAAACACAATCACATTCAATTATACGTTTAAGACGTAAAATAGCAAGTGATCGTTATGTATTGATAGTTTAACTAGTTTAATGGAATCGTAATAGCTATTAATTATAGATAACTATCGGAAACAAGGTATTCATTATACATATATGTTTAATCTCAGTAACGAAATAGCTTCGGTTTAAATTATAAGACTTCTGATACTTTTGCTATACCTGTTAACTTGTAATAATCAATTAAGCTTTTGATTTTTCAAGAGCTAAATGAAAAGCGCTACAATATAAGAAAAATTTTACATTTACAAAAATGTTACTATGTTTACTATTATAAAATATGTAGAGTTGTATGTAAGTGTTACATTAGTAATAATTACGCAATAATTATGTAAATTATTTTGGTATTAAAAAAATTAGAAATATACATCTGATGTATCTGAACTTAACGCATCATTTGATTATCAATTTAGGACACCAACGCATCGAACCAATCTCCGTTATCTGATGCATCATAATCGCTATGTATTTATGAGGCTGCTTAAATTTTCGACCAGTAACGCCTCGGACGAAATTTATGTTAATCACTTCCCTCTAAGGCCTTCGTTAAATATCCACCAATCTACTTCCCAAGGAAGCGAAGAAATACTCGACGATATTTCTACGAAGTTTCAGAACTGCAGACAATAAATTATATTTGCGTGACCGCTTATGATGATTCCGAAAAATTATACTATAAATTAACTTCGATTCGAACGAGATTTATTCTCTTAATTATTTAAACGCCAAACATTTATTCATTGACCGTAGTATCTTTCGCACATATGCAACCCCCTACAGATTAATGATCTAACCACTTTTCATTAATGAATACAAACACGCAAATTTAAAAAAAATGTACATCTATAATTCTCATTCAATTTTTCGCACATATGCAATCTCCTAGAGATTAATGATTTAATCACTTTTTACTAACAATTACATTTCAAACATAAATTTAAAAAAATATACAATCTGTAACTCTCACATTAAAAAAAAAACCTTACTCATTGGTAAACCAAAAATTTCAGAAGCATTGGTTTCCATTCATCTTCACTAATATGAAAAAGGAATATGTGGACTTACATTTCGATGCATTCAGCAAAGAACTCCGTCGTTCGTTAGTCGTCCGCGTTCGTCATCTCACAAATCCTTCCGTTTCCTTTGAATCCTCGTCTTCGGAAATTCGTGGAGCGTGAGCCTGGTTGGCTTTACAAACTTTTTACTAACTATTCTGAAAATCGGTCGCTGATCGTGGCACGTTCCCGAGAGGGAGTAAGTCCTGAGGACGCGGATGGCTCCTACTTATAAAGACTTGGCCAAGACTTGACTCTCCAATTGGCTTGCCGGTGTGTGTGTGGAGCACCAACACACGCATGTGCGTATGTGCACACGAGAAAGAATAGTGACTGCGTGCAGGTGTGGAAGGGGGCACAAACCGTGTTCCGATCGTTACACGCTCGATGTTACACATTACACACGAGACCGATACCGTCCAGGAATTCGCACCTCTTCACCGGAGAATGCGACACTGTCCAGTTCTCCGTTCAATCGCATTTCTCGCGCTCGAGCTAGTTATCGTTACATAGAATTAGCGTAAGCGCTCTCTCTCTCTCTCTCTCTCTCTCTCTCTCTCTCTCTCTCTCTCTCATGCGTCAACATGAAAGATAAAATATTATACAGATTTAATTGAGTTCCTCAATTCTTCTTGATTATCTCCTTTTAGCAAAAAATGTCATTTGGAACGATACTTTAATTTTTTTGCGTCTACCTCACCAGATATTCTTTTTTATAATTTATATTTATTTATATATATATAGGTGTGTATATATGTTTCAAGTATTTCAATGTTATTCAGTTGCAACAAGTGTAATTACATAAAGAATACTTTTTGTGTGCAACATCAAGCCTAATAGCATTTTCTTTTTGAGGACACAGTTGGTAATGATACTTTTATACTATTTTGTGCAAGGTAATTATCAATCAATTATATAAGGAATAATAGTACAAAGCAGGTTTCATTTGTGCATAAAGACTTCGATACTAATAAAAGTTGAGCGCATCCCAAGGCTTACGCGAGGGGGACCGTCGTCATTGCGGCATGTCGATCTCGTGAAAAACGGATACGAAAGTAAGTTGAAGATACAGCGTATCGACGGAAAGTATAAAGCCATCCAAGCCATTGCAGCATCCGCAAGATCGAGTTATGTAGACCGTCGCGTCTCTTCTGTTTCTCGACCTTGATCGCGCAGGATGCACCTCTTGTGCCAACCCGTGCGTGTACGTTTTTTCTCACTATGTCGCGGTATCGATACGATTTTCCCTATCGGATCGGCTCATGGAAACAGGTTCCGCTATTTATATCCGTAATGAATCTGATAAAGTGATATTAAAAAATGAATTATCAAGACGTTACGAATCACGCTGATATAATGAGTAAAGAGAACACTCGTGAATCAACAAGATTTTTAAAATATTTGCGCATTCACTTAAATATCTAATGCTGTCGTTAAAAAATGTCTGAATATTAATACACAATCTTCATATCTATCTATAAATACTTACACAATAAAAAACAAAACAATAAATTTATATCTGTTCCAATGATCTTGAGGTAATAAATTTTGCACTTTTTGAATGTGGTAGGGATAGCGATTATCTCCTTTTACAGTTCGCCAAATTGTTTGTGGTGACACTCCCAATACAGCCGACGCATTCCGAACGCTGGTCTCAGGATGATTGTCAAAATGTTGTAAAATACGATTCCCTGCCTGCAAATCTCTTCGTAACGCTGCTTGAAATCGGTTGTTTTCTTGTCGAATTGAAAATGATCCAGTCTCTCGCAATCTATTAAATGTCAACATAAACACTCTTCGGTTTGGCACTCTTCTGTTTGGAAATCGTCGTGCATATTCTCGCACCGCCTTTAAAGCATTACCGTTGCAGAAACCGTATACAAAAACCATATCAGCATATTCACTATTAGAATACGTACGCGGCATATTGCAAAAGACAAAATTCATCTACTGTTAAAGGCTTTCAAAGAGCGACTGACAAATTCATAACAGAAAGTGGAAAATGTAATCAAATATGTCGGTGCTAGATATGGCAAGAAATGTAAACATTTTTTTTCGATTTCTCTGAAACGGAGCAAAAACGAGCATATGTCTATAGGACTTTTTTTCTTAGTTTTTTACTCCTCTACACGCTCCCGAAGTTTTGCGATTTAATTTGGAAACACCCTGTACAAGTTTAAGGCCCAGTTGTACCAACGTTACTTTAATTTTAAGCGAGGCTTAAAACTCTCTTTGTCTCTGTCTTTTTTCAGCTTTAAAATGAGACAGAGAGAGAGTTTTAAGTCTCGCTTAAAGTCAAAGTGACGTTGGTACAATCAAGCCTAAATGACATACAAATCCACATATCTGACAAAATTCATCGTTACACAAATTTTATTTTTAAGTGAATATTTATGTTAGTGTATAAAAATACATATATTGTTACTTTGAAATATTAGAATATTAAATAAAACATCATATTAATTTTTACAAAATTGTTAAGACAAGTGACGTACCAATATCTACTCTAATAACAATTTTATTATCTACATTATATCTGAATAATGAGATAACGAAAAAAAGAACAATAATGTATTTTACGACTCTTTTAATCCAATGTGAAAAGATTGTTTGTGAAATGATACGAAGAGTTTTGAATTATAAAAGAACGATATTACTATTTATAAGCTATCATATATAGTATAATTTTTTTTTATCAAGGTCAGTCGTTACTAAATTACGGGTGACGTCGATGACGGTCACTGCTCCGACGCGGTTCGACGAACTCCGCGTAACAGGATGCTGCAAAAATTACAAGAATCAACTACGAAAATATGATGTATGAGAGCGTGAAAAAAATACGACGGAGGCGAAAACGTTCGGCCCGTGACGGGATCGAGGTCGCGACTATGAGATAATCAATGATTGTTTTCGCATACCGTTCCATACAAGTCTCAACTTAGTAAGAATCCTATGGGAATGTGCACGATGCTCGATCATTTATTTTCTATCTATCCCATACAAAGATTCTCGAGGACAACTAGCAGCAGCAGTAACGAGTAATTGAACTTGCCGGTTGACGCAGCTTCCGCAGATTCTTCAGTGTTGTCTCTGTAGTCTGGATTTCTTTCGACCGATTTCTTTTGTAACGATTTCTGTTGTCTCTATTTAGAATTCTCTTTAATATTCTTTTCTGCTATTATACCAATGCTAGTTTTTAGACATTAGCTGTACGAAATAAATTTGTATTAATATTCAGATTCTTTAATAATTATGAACTTTTAATGTCATAAATTATTTAACTCTCTATCAAGATTGAATTTGAATATAATAATAAAATATAGAGTTAAACAGTATATATATTGTGAGAACAGACGAGAACTTACGTTATTTCTATTTTTACAATGTATTATATATTTTTTCAAATTTTTTTTATATCGGAATTATTTGGATCTTAAAAATCTATATGATTGTTGATTTTGTTCGAACTTTTTTAAATCTCAAATCACTTTCAATTTAGAATCATTCAAATTGTTTGTTCACAGGATCTGCTTAAATTTTTTTTCGAACCTGCTTTGTAAAACGACACGAAATATTTTAAGTAAAACTCACATTTTTTATATATTTTATTTATAAAACATTTTATGTAATTATAACTATTATATAACATCTATTTTATGCAAAATATATATTTCGCTGCACGTTTCTTTTAAAAAACTTGATACCTTCTTCTGAAACATTATGTAGGGGCAGACTGTACTTGTACGAACTGTACATGTACGAACTAAACATATGTACAGAAAGGGAGTACAATGGATCGTACTTCAAGGTACGTTCACCATAAATGATCTGAGGAAAAATCCCAGGGCTATGGATCCTGTGTTGGGACATACATGATCCTCGTCTCGTTGCAGATTCTCGAAGAAAGAAACGATCCATTCTGCAAGAGGGATTCTGAATTAACGAGCCGTGGAATAAAGCGCGGAAGTCCAACCTCATCCATGATTTATTCGTTCATGAAGAAGAGCACGCGATTCACCTGTCTCCAAGACTTTTATTTTTAACGTATAATGGCAGCTATAATAATACGAACATTGTGAACGGTGATACCTTAATTGCTACTTTCCATTCATATTAATTTTCTTTCCGCACTTGCGGTACTTGACTTGAGAAAATTTATCTTTATTTAGTTAAAAATTCCAAATTAAGGAAATTTGACGAATAAAAGCCACATCGTAAAGTACAATGCTCTCAACCACTTTTCTAAATGAACTTTATCTGCGTGCTTGTAATTACTGATAACGTGTCGATTCGATAATTTATTAATGCTCAATTATCTGCGTTTACGTTTGCTCGACGACTATGTAATCATAAAGCTCGAAGGCAGTGATTTAAGCATACAATGACGCTAGTCATTAAGAAGACCAAAAGGGTTTTCAGTCAGACACGCACCACATATGTATTTAAAAGATGGACTATCCTGTCGACATATGCGAATACATAGGTATAAGTAGACGCCGATGATTTATGAGTTACGGAGAGATCTCAAGCCACCTTTAATATTCCAAGTATTTTCGCGTGCTCGTCTTATATATTTCTATATGATATACAGTTATTAAGCATACACACACAGACACACACATATTCGAAATTAAGTACATATATATATATATATATATATACACTGCACGAGCTCTTAATACAATTCTTCATTTTGCAAATTTAATTTGTTAACCCCCATAGAGTTAAATGTAGTAACTTGCAGTTTATTTATTCTCATATAGAATGCAAAGAAACCCTGCAAAGATTAAAGAAAAATAAATGCAAATTCTGCTCATAAAGCTAAAAGTTCATTGAGAACGTATCTTCAAAAGTAACAGTCGAATAGTAAGCGAATTTAAATGGAATGTAATATCAATTATGTTCAATTTTTATTCAGTTATCGTCTTTATCAAACATTTTAAATGAAAACGATACTTGCAACTTGCAATAGCAAGTTTCTTTTGATAGCAATCGGAATGAAATTAGCAAGAGTGATGAAAAAAAGGTCGATGAGAGATACATCGTACATACACGCAACGACGAAGCGTCATAAAGATCGTTCCGTTTCTTTTGCGGTTTTTTAGCCGAACGTCGATGTCACGAACGAAAAAAAAATAAGAAGAAACACAGAAGAGAGCAGTCGAGAGCAGTCGTGGTTCGAAGGC